CCTCCTCTCATCCATACAGTCTTTTTATGCTGGGTTCTTTTTTTTTCTTTTTTTTCACCAGCTGTCGTTGGTGACGGAGCAGATTTTTCTTCAGACCTGGAAAAAAAATGAACGAAAATTTAATTAAATTAACATAAAAAAAATCCAATAAAACCTTTTAATAATGGATAAAAATAACATAAATTTAACAAAATAAAATTGATTGTTATTGTTTTTTTTCTCACCAGTTCCAGTCCAATATTCCTGGTGTTTTTTTTCTTTTTCTTTTTCTTTTTCTGTTTCGTCCTCTGTTTTAGTCGACCAGTAAAAAATTAAAATGTTTTTTCTCGTCTTATTTCCCATAGAAACAAAGTTCCAGACAAAAATACTTTTTGACTTTTTTAGGAACTGTTTTATTTATTTTTTATTTTTTTTATTCAACCACATCCAAACTGGGATTTGATTTTTTTTCTTTTTTTTTTCTGAACCAAAACCCAAATTGGATTATAAAAATATTTTCTGAACCTCATTTTGGTTCCACGGCCTCATTTTAAATCCGACCAGAATGTTTGTCAGTCGTCAAGAGTGACGGAGCGTGGACTGGGCCTGGACCTCCACCTCAGACGTTCTGCTGCTCTGGGGTTTGGAACCTTCTGACGCCGCGGTCTGAGGTGAACCCCGGTCCAGGACCACGGTCTGAGCAGCACCGCCAAACAGATCCGCTCCAACGCCGCAGTGATAGATGATGGCGGTGAAATGTAGCCTCAGCAGGAGGTTTCTGATTGGACGACTACTTTCTTTGTTTGATTTTCTGACGCTAACGGTTTTTGTTTTCCTCTCAGGGAGAGTGCGGTAACTTCATCCGTCTGATCGAGCCCTGGAACCGGACCCACCTGTACGTGTGTGGGACGGGGGCGTACAACCCCATCTGCACCTACGTGGATCGAGGACGGAGGTCACAGGTAACCAAAGACGCAGCCGGGCGGCCATTACGACCTTTAGTCTGCGCCGGATCTGTGGATGTGTGGAGCACAAGAGCCTCCTTCTGCTCCTGCTCCTCCTTCTGCTCCTGCTCCTCCTTCTGCTCCTGCTCCTCAGTTTCCTCCTCTGTTCTTTCTGTTCCACGTTTCCTGCCTCTTAGTTTTCATCGATTTGCGACGTTTCACGCTCGACAGATTCCAACAGAGAGAAAGCTCAGAGAACTTCCTGTCCGTTTGTGTCTTACGTCTGTTAGCGCGACAGCTAACGGTCGCTAACTGCTAACAAATGGTTTCTACTCCAGACTCTAACGTCTGGGAATAAAAAATTGACAATAAACCCAGAGAAACTGTCGCCTCCTTGAAGATCCCCCCCCCGCCCCCCCCCCCCCCCCCCCCCCCCCCTCCCACCACACCCCCCCCCCTCCCCTGTTTACACACCACAGCCCGTGGCCTGTCGTTCTCTCTGGCTGAGAGCCTCTGAAAGCCCATCATTACTGATGGAACCTCTCATCCATCATCGGTCATGTAGCAAACCCTCTCCTCCCCCGTTTCCTCCCTCGCTGCGGCGGGGGCGCGGGGGGGGCGCGCTGCGGCGCGCCC